TTCTGGCATTCAAAGTTCGCAGACATACTGCTGTGCCACTGGGGAGCCATATACAAAATTCATATAGGAAACCCACAGATACAGGTAAGTCCATCTAATTCATCAAATCATTCCAACACTGTAAAGACAAGCGTCATAGACTGCCTAGTTTCTAGAATGAAGCTAAGAATAAGAATTCAAACTCAGCACTGCAACCGTTTTTGACAATGAATATCTGGAACATTGATAAAGATGAACACCAAGAATAAACAGGACTAAAATTACAGACACACAGTCAGGTCTCTCAAAAACATGCATAGAATATGTCAAAAGCCATAACAAACTACATAAAGACCAATGACAAAAAATATTTGCAAAAGCCCCAAGGGATGTGGAGAATCAACAAGAAATACCAACCAAATGTAGAAATGATAAACATAATAGACACACACAGTTCCTGGTAATAATGATCTATCTGCAATAGCATATAATGCCAGAGAAGATCATATAATAGATTGAAATAACTAGCATAAATACCCATGCTTTGTTTCGGGGATCAAAGGTCCCCTCATGCATGATTCACAGAGGCCCCAGTGTACCAATCAAGTTCCTCCATTATTCCCAGTTACTTCTATAGCTACTCCAAGAGAGGTCAATACCTGAAATAAACCTTCAGGACATCTGTCCATGGTATCTGAGCATCTGTGTACCAAGTCTGGTTCTGCTAGCTTGTGAGTAGGAGGTATGAATAGCTACCACAAAGGGAGTCCGTGCTACTCCCCCTAAAAAACTCGTTAGGACACCTCCCATGTTATCTGAACAGGTGCGCCAAGATTGATACCGCTAGCTTGTGAGTGGAAATATGAACATAATCCAGTAAATGGTGTCCCCTAGATCCTGATGGGGCTAATAACGCAAAATCTAATGCCAGATTCGAGTTCAGCGACCCTTCAAACTTAGTCATAAGCTCCCTCTTTTCTAGGTAACCTTCTGGACACATTTTATCCACAACTTTATAGGGCTTCATATGTTTAGCACAGTACCATAGGTCAGATATGTACAAAACAAGAAACCACAATATTCTGCAAAAAATATAATAACTCATCTACAATAACTGTTCACTTTATTACGAACCCCACTTAGTCAGGTTAGGCTACCTGTCACTGTGATAGTAACTTGTAGTTGGCTTGGGATAAACTCTACAAAATAATAGAAAATATCCTGTTCAATTTTAGCTCCCTCGTTCTGGTGCATGGTCTGCAAGTGTTTCACAGATCTTGACAGAATATTACTATTGAGATGTACAAGTTTATGCCAAAGATGCATAGTTGAATTGAGATCCAGTTGCTGAGTTGGCCGATTATGGACAATCTGAGCATGTTTTATTGTTGTATTATCGTGCTCAAAGAGTCTTTGTCTTTCAAGATTAAATTCGTCACCGTGATCAGCAACAACATTCAGGTAAACTCTGGATGATATTCGTCAATCTAAAGAAATCAAAGGAACAAACCTTGTCATGAAAATGTTCCTAACCAATTACACTGCCTCAGTCAGCTTGTACACTTGGTGCAATTCAAGCATAGTGAAGTGTTTCACACTGTTATGTCTATATAATTTTGCTCTCCCATTAATTTAGTGAAAGGCGATTTGTGATTTACGATATCATAGCAATATTCACACTCCATACATTGAACTGAAAGCCCTACCGAAGCTGCACTTTTCTGTTTGCATTTGACGTAATGACTCTTTTGGACTGGTTGTTAGCTGTCACAGAACAGTTTTTATAATTTCTTTTATGTGGTATAATTGAAGATGGATAAATCCTGGCCATGGTTGATTGAATTGGTAATTCGAAAACAGATTGATCTCTGCTGTGCTTTAAAAGCTTACGCAATCGTTTTTAACTCATTCTTTTCCTCGCAGTTACCTGTCCAATCGACTTTTTCCTGTCAACAGCAAATATCAGTCGGGGTTTTTCACTAGTAGTAAACATATTTTGTCTTGTTTGCCATAATTGTATTGTATTTGCTTTAAACAAAATAGTGGATCTTGTTTATGATTATGAAATGTTATTCCAAGTGATCTGAATTAGTCCTCACATTTCAGCCAAGGTATTTGGTTGCTGTTTGACTTCTTGAAATACAAATATAAACCTAATAAAGGACTTTACGCAGGCATAGCCATTGTTATAAGCATTCCATCAGACCCATTGCTTCCAGATATCATTTCATTACATTTGCTTTATGTTTGGGATACTGTCTTGCTGAAAGATAATTCCCTCCTAGCAGGTCTTTGTTCCTGAAATAATGAACTGATGGATAAGAATCTGTTTGTAACTGTAAGCAGTCAAGGTGCCATCAATTTTGTTTAGATCTCCAACAACATTGATTGAGATTCCGTCAACACTAGTATTGGTCCCCAACACACTTCACTGTAGATGTTCTATGTTGACCATCATAACGTTTTCCTTTATATCATTAAAATGCTTTGTTGATTGTTAGGTACGTCTATAAAGAGTACCTTTCTCCAGTTTTGTTCATCTCATTGTTTTAAGCAGTGGTCTGTTTTCTTTTTCAGAATGTACAAATCTTTTTCGCTCTAGCGTGTTGTTCTGGGGATAATATTCACATCTGTACTTATAGCTAGGTTATTATCTCGACCATTTTTGTTATCAACAGTACCTTCAGAGTTTCCATACAGCCTCACTATGCCACAAGCAGTAAACTCCATCAGCTAGAACTTCGGTTTCTACATGTCTGTCATGTGACATTCCTGTCCTGGGAACCATAAATACATTCACCACTCCTAGTACTGCGAGTATGATAGATGTCTATACTTTTATAGACTTATACTAGTGTGGCATTGTCTGATCGTAAGAAATCAACACGAGTCTGTATTCTGGCGCAGTTCGTATCCGTACAGTAAAGAGGAACTATCCCATAACATTTGCATTTTATATTAATTCTATTCACTGTTTCCATAATTACTTCCAATACTGCATATTGACATGTATGTTAGACTTCTCAACATTTTTATTGTTACAAAAAAACAAATCTTCGTAACCGAGAATAGTGGATGCAATAACACATGAAGCTTGTATCTGTCACAGGAAATAATAGATGCAATTTATTAATCGATGTAGCCACATAGTAGTAGCAACGGGATGTGAACTTCAAACCCTCAGGTTTAAAATCGGATACCAATAAACCACGCCCGCCTTTCTTACTTTTATTGAAATGAAATCAATCGTATGTATGTAAAGATTATGTGCATCGTTATCTCGTTTTGTTGTTTTATGATTATTTACTGTTTGCTATTATGTTTTTTAAACGCTCAGCCGTAAGTACGAAGGCTCCTAACGCTAAAAACTGGGTTTCGATACCCGCGGTGAGCACAACACGGATAGCCCATTTGTAGCGTTGTATTTAACAACAAAACAAACAAACAATTAAAGGGGAATCTTATGCAAACTAAATACATGAAAAACAAACAAACTTAAAGTATTTTGTTAAAGGTCACCGTTTGTCTTCATTTTTACTATTCTTTTCTAAAATATATTATTCCTTATGATATATATGGATATGTGATGTTACAAAGTTTTTATATCGACAATAATTTTAAGTATCACAAGTAAAGTTATTTGATAATGTATATTCACACCTCAGAATTTATACAATCAAACTGTCATGCACTAGAAAGACATTGCATTGTTTTATACTTTACGATAACAAATAGCTTTCAGCCAAAATATTGGACATTCCACAATAGACTATCTGTGCTTTCCCAATCGCTGGTATCGAAAACCAGTTTTTAGCATTATAAGCCCTCAAACTTACCGCTTAGCCACCTGAGACAATATTGTTGTAGTTGCACAACCTGCACTACTATACGTCAAACGACTAAGATAATTCAATTCAATTACACCACTAATACACACGTTTCAAGGGCAACAATGTATAGCCTCCTAATGGCATAGCGGTATGTCTGTGGACTTACAATGCTAGAAACCGGATTTCAAAACCCGTGGTGGGCAGAGCACAGATAGCCCATTGTGTAGTTTTGTGCTTAATTCCAAACAAAGTATGCATAATATATAAATTTAATTAAAATTATTGCTGTTTCCTTTGTAATACAATGAGCAATATGTTTTAATCATTCTTATTTGTGTTTCCTGGTTTGGCATAGGCAGCCTTAATATTTCCCTTACTGAAGAAATAACATTATTTAATTCTGATTATCTATTTTTTGTTATTATCATTTAAAGGAATACCGTATTAAATTGTTTAGATATTTCGTTTAAGTAATCACCAATTTCTACTTTTTAGCTTAATCTGTTTATTTTTTCTCATAAAATAAGATTTAAATGAACATCTAATCTTTCCCTTGACATTAAATTACAGTTCTTGTATTTACCTATGTTTCCATACTAGGCCTAATTACTGCTTTTTAAGGATCTCTAGCTCTAACTTAAAGACGACCTTTCATGTCGGTCAATTTTTATCTATATTTAGCTAAATAAAAATACCTTATACATTTCTTGAGGCCAAACAGAAGCGAAATGTGGGGGAGAAGACAAAGCTAACTTGAATCAGCTTGTTTTTTTTATATATAATTAGAGGGGCAATTGGGGCCTATGTTGATACAGTGGGAGCCAAAAACAACTTATACTACTTTCTACTTTTTTGCTTATTTGTTGATAAGCGCAAAGCTAAACAATGGGCTATCTGTACTGTATCCAACGCTATATATCGAAACCCGACATTTAGCGTTGTAAGCTTCAGACTTGCCTCTTAGCCACCGGAAGGATATGTTACATAGGGGTCTGTCTATACTCTGTTCACTGCGGAAAATCGAACCCCGGATATTAGAGTTGTAAGTCCCTAAACCTGATCAACCAAAAGCCTGCTTGAAGGAGGACAAATATATATCTCTTTGAAATGAACGAAATTATTTTGAATAATATAAATAATGTCATATATTTCTTTTAAAACGTGTATAACCTGTATAATTTTACTTTTCAGATATAGCAGTCACAATGTACAAACGTCTTTATAGCGAACACCTACAGCTGGAGAGGGCCTTTGGCTTGTTGCGCCATCTAGTAGCAGAAAGCCATGGACAGGAAAGAACTGCCAAGGTTGTCTCATTGTTTGTATTTATTTTCGTACTTGATCGATTGAAAGTAAACCTAAACGTAAAACTTAATATTTTAACTGTTCTAATGATTGGTTGACATGATACACAAAGAAAGTAAGTTTTTAGTTATTTTGCGTGAGTGTGTTTTACTTAAAACGTAAAACTGTCTACCAAACTTATTTTCAATATTTAATTTGTAACCATTAACGATTTCTAAAATTGTAGTATTATTTATAATTAAGTATATAATTTGGTATTTTAAGTATAATACAGAATCTCGTCTCGAATTCTTTGAATAATAAAATATAGGAAACATTTCTTATTTTATTAAAGCTATACAAAGTGAAGAAAACACTTAGCATTGATTTGCAATATATATAAATGTATTATTGTAGGCATATTTCTTATACCACCAGGAAATTACAAGTTTAGTATGTGTAAAATTCAACTTTTGAAATAATCATTATGTTCTTTCCAAAATAAAAGTATTTTGTACAGTAGATTAAAATATATATGCAAACTCATTTGCGTGTCCGTGTTCCTGTTATGTGAACTGGAAAAATAACGCCCCTTTTATGCTATTTTTTAAAACATTTATTTACATATAAAGTATACTTTCACATTTACCCTTTTAATTTTTTACAATTTAAGATGGATAATCACACCTTGCAAGCAATTTAGTGTTAATAACGTAAAAAATTACATATTGTTTAACCCTTTGTAAGTATCTTATGTTGTTGTAAGAAATTTCTAATGATGTGGACCTGTCTTAACTCACTATTTTGTTAACATTTTGTTGACGGTATCATAAGGAATTACTAATGATGTGGACCTGTCTTAACTCACTACTTTGTTAACATTTTGTAGACGGTATCATAAGGAATTACTAATGATGTGGACCTGTTTTAACTCACTATTTTGTTAACATTTTGTAGACGGTATCATAAGGAATTACTAATGATGTGGATCTGTCTTAACTCACTATTTTGTTAACATTTTGTAGACGGTATCATAAGGATTTACTAATGATGTGGACCTGTCTTAACTCACTACTTTGTTAACATTTTGTAGACGGTATCATAAGGAATTACTAATGATGTGGACCTGTCTTAACTCACTATTTTGTTAAAATTTTGTAGACGGTATCATAAGGAATTACTAATGATGTGGACCTGTCTTAACTCACTACTTTGTTAATATTTTGTAGATGATATGAGAGGCGTCGCTAGGCTAGGCATTGGCACACGGAGCCCGTGCCCCGATTCTATTTGACAGTGCCCCGAATCTCCAGTTGGTGTCTCGAAAAGTCAGAATAGAAAACCATGATCAATATCATACTGAAACGCCAAAAATTCACACGCCTATGGGCCCGAGCCCCGAATATTTTAAGTACATAGCGACGCCTCTGGATGACATCATAAGGAATCAGTAATAATGTAGATCTATCTTAACTCATTATTTTAACATTTTGTATATGATATCTTAAAAACCACTAATGATGTGGATCTATCTTAATTCATTATTTTTAACATTTTTGTAGATGATATCATAAGGAACAAGTAATGATCTGGGCCTGTCTTTCATCTCTTGTTATCATTTTTAGATGATATAATAAAAATTCAGTACTAATATAGCGTAACTCTTCTCTTTTTTTTAGCATTTTTAATTTTACCATAAGAAAACATAGTTTTTCCATCTTGTTATAATTTTTTATACGGTATCTTACGAAATCACTAATAATCTAGATATATTTTTCCTCTCCTGTTAATAATTTTTTGTGATAGTGTAAGAGATCACAAATGACAAGATAATATTCCCAAATTTATGTAGGTGCGCCTTGTTTATGAAATAATAATGAAGAACATTTTTACAATTAACAGATACTTTCATGGGCTGAAGAAAAACAGAAACTACAGAACATAGTAGAAAGTTTGAAGATGGTGGTACGTATTGTGTTTAAAACTTTAGTAGAAAGTTTGAAGATAGTGGTACGTATTGTGTTTAAAACTTTAGTAGAAAGTTTGAAGATTGTGGTACGTATTGTGTTTAAAACTTTAGTAGAAAGTTTGAAGATAGTGGTACGTATTGTGTTTAAAACTTTAGTAGAAAGTTTGAAGATAGTGGTACGTATTGTGTTTAAAACTTTAGCAGAAAGTTTGAAGATAGTGGTACGTATTGTGTTGAAAACTTTAGTAGAAAGTTTGAAGATAGTGGTACGTATTGTGTTTAAAACTTTAGTAGAAAGTTTGAAGATAGTGGTACGTATTGTGTTTAAAACTTTAGTAGAAAGTTTGAAGATCGTGGTACGTATTGTGTTTAAAACTTTCGTTTGCGAGTGATGAAATCCGTATTGTATGTGCCAAAGATCCATTATCCATGTGCTTGTTTTGTCAAACTCACATTATCCACGTGCTTGTTTTGTCAAACTCACATTATCCATGTGCTTGTTTTGTCAAACTCACATTATCCATGTACTTGTTTTGTCAAACTCACATTATCCACGTGCTTGTTTTATCAAACTCACATTATCCACGTGCTTGTTTTGTCAAACTCACATTATCCATGTGCTTGTTTTGTTAAACTCACATTATCCATGTGCTTGTTTTGTCAAACTCACATTATCCACGTGCTTGTTTTGTCAAACTCACATTATCCACGTGCTTGTTTTGTCAAACTCACATTATCCATGTGCTTGGTTTAGGTGGGTCAACTAAAACAGGAGTTGAAAGAGGCTCAAGACCAGAATGAACTTTTAGAATTTCGTTTCTTGGAACTTGAACAATGCCAGTTTAAGGTAAGTCATATTGGACATGATTAGCCCAACTTTCATGTTAACCATGTAGTTTCTTGTCAAGCTCATTAGTGACGGAACTTAAGTGAAAACAGCTTAACTTTCTTCACTGTATGTTTTCATATTTTTTTACCGAGAGTTTAATGCTAACATGATTTTTAAATATATTGTAACATCCTACGCTAAACTAAGTTCGACTCGTCTTGGACAATTTTGTTGTCGAATCTACTCATGCGCGGGGTAATACTTCAACAGCCTTAGATATTTCTAAATTGTTTTCAAATAATACTTCTACGAATTATAGTTGAGTAAATTGCGTGAAGGATAAAAGTGGTTAACTTCAGAGTAAGATTATGTTTTAGGTAAATACTGTAACCCTTTATTATGTGATCCCTTTTTGTTGTTTTTTATTATGTTTCAGTAAAGGCTATCCTTTCCGTTTTCTGTTATCTGCGGTTTGATCTATAAATGCATCATTAAGTGTAACAACAACCCTATAACACACTGTCAGAACATTCGAGTCATGTATGAACCATCGCTAAGCCTGTGCCATACTGCCACAGATTTCGGGTGTTACGCACCATTGCTAAGCTTATAACATATTGCCAGAACATTCGAGTCATGTATGGACCATTGTTAATCCCATGACACATTGCCAGAACCTTCGAATCATGTAAGAACCATTGCTAACCCTATGGCACACTGCCATAACTTTCTTGTCATGTATAGACCATTACTAAGAGTATGACATACTGCCAGAACCTTCGAGTCTTGTACGAACCATTGCTTACTATATGGTACACTGTCATAACCTTCGAGTCATGCAAGGACCATTGCTAAGCCTAAGAACATACTTGACTTCGCTGTAGTTTAAATCACAATAAGAGCAATCAGGGAGGTTTCATACCCTCGACCCTCTGCAAATTTTTGGATTTTCAGTTTCAATGTGTGCCTGAAATTCTGTCCAGATCCGATCACTTTTTTACACAGAGAAAATGCCCTATATCGTCATTATAGAAATATTTCAAAATGATCCAGAATCTGGATCAGATTTCGGGATGACTATCCTATGGGGACATCTTATCTCCTGTAAACATTTCACGTAAATCAGTTTATTGTGTTACGTATTAGAATTTCAAATGGCCTGAAACTGAGTTAACTGATAAATTTAAATTTGGTTGTTAAATTGTACTTTAGATATAGCAGTTAAGTAAAAGCCAATATATAGTCAGTTTATGATATTTGTCAACAAGATTGATACACACAATTTTTTTAACACAAATACATTTTAATATATACACAAAAATACAATTCAGAATAACAGTTATTACAAATCGTTATTACAAACAATTATTTATAAACAAAAGTTTCACAAACTTACAAGCAATACAAAGTCTTCTTTGTAGATTGTAACTTCCTTGATATCTTATCGAGAGTTCACGATGAGCGAGTTAATTACGAGTTGATGTCCGTTGGCACACACGCTGCATTTTCCACCGTTGAAGTTAGATAATGTTTTCGTAGAAGTACTAATGTCTGATGAGAATCCACTGAAGTTAAATGAGTAGTAAGGTTTGAACTTTGTAAATATTCCTGATCAAATATCTGAAGTTTTCCGATTGATAAGCGTTATAATAATCGCAGTTATAGTTTTCAAAGTTTATAACACACTGATTATAGCGAACTAATAATAGATACTCTATTTTGACGCTGCGCATTGATTATACTTATGGGCGTGGGAAGGTTTTCTAGAAAATTCAGATTACGTAACAATACTGAACTACACTTAAGCGTTTACGTATATACATGTATTGTTGATTCTTACTCTCGAGAATCTTCTACAACTTTGGAGAATAGGCGGGAGTTTCACAATACACATTTAACACTATAAGCTACGCATGTTTTAAAATATAAACTTAATCTAAACACCGTTGATATTAAAATAAATACATAACAACAAATTTGTTACAATTGTTTTTCGAAATGAGTGTACAGGCATACATACATACATGCGACCCAAATGCAATACCCTCCTCCTCCCCCATACTGAGGCGAGAGTAAGAATAATGCAAGCTTTACAAATGAGAAAGCTCAGTGCTGAATTTGTCAGATTGAGCTGTGTGTGTGAGATATATTCGTTTCTAGAAGTTTACGTTCAGACGTGAATATTAAATGTAAAGATACACAAATAATTGAGTTATTTATAATTAAAAAAAATTTTTATTGGACATAATTGTAGCTTTAGATTGTATAAAAAAAAATTAGTTTCGCCGAGTAATTAACTTATGTTTTAATCGTTAAAAATTACTATATAAAATAACTTAACTTTTGTAACTCAAATCATGAACTTCGATCATTTTTTTAGGTAACCGAAGATGAACAGTTACGCGAGAAAGGTGTAAATACAGACTCATGCATTGAAAATCAAGATATTTTAGATTTCGATGACGTCATCAAGAAGTGTGAGGCAACGAATACAAAGGTGAGAATGATTATCGCAAATAGCTACATATTTTTGGAATTTTATATAATATTTTGAGAACACTAACAAATGTTGTTTTCATTATTTACAAAGTTAGAGCCTCCTCAGTGGTTTTATTATTATTTATTTATGACCAATCGGATTTTTGCTTTTACAGTGTGAGATATATTATTAGTCAGGATGCATTGCGTAAATTAAAGAAAAATTTTTGGGGGGAAATTTTTCTGTTTAGATATTGTAAAATGACTTCAAATTTGAACGCATTATTTATACTTCAGTTAATATAAAGGCTTATTCGATGTTGAATCATTAAAATTACACCCGTTTTCTTTTCTTTTGTTACTTACTTCGAATTGCATTTCTAGGGTTATTATCGAAACCTCCAAGTAGGTGACAATAACATTCCACTGGCGTTTTGCTCTTTATCATTTGACACCTCAGGCATAACAAACATGGCAGTAAATTAGTCAGTAATTAAGTTATTAGATTGGGAGATAGGCCTCACCAGCACGTGTTAATTCGGTTTACCACTTGTCAGCTGTCATTCTTTCCTGTAAGAACTTTATGGCTTATGGTAACATTACTTCATCTTCAATCTCACTGACTAATATAGGCTTCGCTTCATCTCTGTGATACAACAACTAGTTTCTGAATATTTTGTTTATTATAAAATATTTAAAGATACTTCAAGGTTAATGTGACCTTGATGCTCATGTGTTTTCAAATGAGCCGTTTCTACTTGGAAGAGACTGATAAAAGCGTTGTTTTCTAGACTGTGTTTCAAAATTGGCATTGCAACTTATAAACCATGCCACCTACAATACTAGTTCTTACTAGTAAGTGGTCATTATACACGTTGTTTGTAAAGTTTGTACGTAGCCACAATCTAGTTCTTTCAATAGTAGCTAATTATTGTAGCTTATAAACGATGGGAACTAGAGAACCTGAGCTAAACTTATAATCCATTGTAAATCTCGGTATCAGGTTTTTCTGGCAGTTTGATAGTTTTCAAAAATTATAATACCACAGCGTAATTTTGTTATTTATGTATTAACCGAATAAAATAGTGTTTTAACCTACGTCTACCATAATGTTGATATATAGTTCTAGGTACTTTTTTTAGCAATTTCTTCTCCCAAAATAGTTTCATATTTTGCTAAGATTAGAGTTTCAAATGTACCCTCAGTTTATTTACTTTGTATCAAAATAGTTTCATATTTTCAAGCATTAAAGTTTCAAGTATACCCTCAGCTTATTTACTTTGTATCAAAATAGTTTCATATTTTGCTAACATTACATTTTTACACGGTCCCTCCTTTTATTCACATTGTTCCAAAATGGTTTCATATTTTGCAAGCATGATAGTTTCAAGCCCTTTCAGTTTAATTACTTTGTCCTAAAATAAGTTCATGTTTTGCTGGCATTAAAGTTTCACACGGTGCCTAAATTTGTTTACTTTGTCTCTTGTATGACATAATTTTTGGTTTCAACAAGTTTCTAGAAGTAATCTCCTTCTCATCTCCATAATTTATAAACTGAACAAGACACATGATAAATACAAAACAGGCACAACATCAAATACTCTACCACACGAAACATAAAACTTCCGTTAATACTGTTAATATTTCATTAAAAGTGCAAGTTTCAGACAGTGATATGTGACGATATTTTCCCCCTTTTCTTTCTGTAAACGATTATACCTACAAATTCATTTTTCCAGTGGCTGTTTGAAACATATTCCATTTCACACGATTGTGCTTGATTGGTTATTTGTTTTATTAGTGCAAAGACTATCTGTGTTCTAACAACCACAGGGAATGGACCTCCGGATTTTAGCTTTGCAAGTCCGTGCTGACTCACTGGGGTGACCGGAGGGGGGTGGGTGACATGAATGTGATGACCTGCAAATGTTCAATTAAAAAGTAACTCCAGACCTTAAGATTGACCAAAAGCATATTTTAAAATTTATTTTGAAGACTGCAAAATAATAGTTATTCTAATGCATTATAATTATATACAGTATTTTGCAATTTGTATGATGTCACTATAACAAGTTGTGATATATATTTTAAAAATTAGACATTGATTAGAAAAAATAACAATACACTAAAAACAAATAGCTTTAGAACTTTAACTCTGTCATATATGTCGAACGTCATACAATTTTTCTGTTCTCCATATAACAAATTAAACCACCGATTTTTGTGGAAAAGAAAGTTAACCCAAGAATTACCAATGAAGTTCATGTAGGTGCTATTGGCTTTTACACACATTTTTCTAAACTATTTATGCACCAGGTTCCATGACTTTGTTGGTTACAGAACGTACTAACAATATATTGTTGCGTCAGCGAGATCACGTGACAATTCTCACGCTCTCTTGTTTCTAGAACTATCCCGTATCTTGGCGAATGGTCTAGTAATTACTAGAAATAGGGTACGCTGGTAT